CGATACACCCTATACTTGCTAATAAAGAACTCACGTATCAAGATTATTATATAAATTGTGAAATTCTTGAAATTATAGACTCATAAATTTAAGTAGAACCTCTTAAAGACTTAGTAAATAAACTATACCTTCTAATTACATCGACAGATTGCGCTTAACAATATGTTTTCAAAATTGATTTTAGATTTTTGAAGTATTTTTACTTTTTGAGATTTATACAGAATCTATTTTATATATAGAAGTAAAAAAATATCTAGTTGTATATTTAATCAAAGAATAAATTTGGGTAGTTAAAAAATTTTGAATTTTAAGTAAAATAATTTTGTTTTCTATGAAAAACTATTTTGACTTTTTTCTCCAAAATTATAATTTCAGAGTTTCAAAATAATTTTGCGTGCAAGTATAGTATATATATTCAAGTTTATTTTAAACTCAAATATATATGTTGCATTAATTAAAATAGTTTTTTTTTTCTCTTAAATAATTTTTTATATTCCAAATATTTGAAGAATCAAAAATAATTTGGGATACCAAAAATAATTTGAGATATCAAAAATAATTTAAGATTTGAAATATTTTGATCTTTAGATTTTAAATAATTTTGATATATTTTGGTAGTCATAATATCATATTAATTTGAAATTTGAATAACATATATATTTAGAATTAAAACAAGAAACTTTACTTTAATGAAAAGAAAATAAAAAAAAGAAAATTTCAGAAAAAGGAAACCTGAATAACTTAGTGCAAAAATTTGAAAAGTTACAAATCAATTTGACACAAAAAATTAATCAGTTAGTTAATTAAGTAAACTCCAGGAAATTCTCTCCTTGTTAATGTTGTAGATTATACTATTCTTATTGATATAGAAGTTACTGAAACTATCACCCATATCCTTATTTTGAAAAATAACTAACTTCTAAAAACTAATGGTAATTATAATTGGCAAAACTAAAAGTTAATCCTTAAATAGAGAAGCAAGGATTTAATTTTATCTGTTTTCTGTATTTGAGAAAATATAATGAAAAATCTTAAAACTGTAAAGAAGAACTTAATGACAGTGAAACAGAAAGTGAAGAGGAATTTTCTAAATAAAAAAAAAGAAAATGATGACAATAATGAAGACTTTGAAAACTGTATTGAATATTTAGAGGAGAAAATAATTTTTTCTGAAAAATAATGAGAATGAAAGTGATAACAGTAAAGAAAATGATAATGAAATTGAAAATAAGGAAGATAGTAATAATTCAGATTTTACTGAATCTGAAGATAATGAAAATAATTTAAAATTAGAATCTAAAAACAATAGTGATGATAATGAAAATAGTAATAATTCAGACTCTATTGAATTTGAAGATAATAAAAGTAATTCAGAATTTGAATCTAAAAATAATAACAATAATGATGAAGATATTTTAGATGAAATTCTTGTAATGTTAAGAGATTCATTAATTAAAATTGAATTTAATATTAATACTTTAAGTACTAAACAACAAGTCTAATTTAATCAGTTACTTAAAGAAAATCAAGATTTATTTGTAACAGATATTAGTCAATTAAGATAAACAAATATTATCTAATATAAAATTGATACTGGAATTGAGAAACTTATGAAATAAAAGTTTTATCATTTCAAATCAGTATAAGAGTAATTTATAGAAGAAAAAATCAAATGACTTTTACAAAAAGTATTAGTTGTGAAATCCTTTAGCCCTTGAACTTCTCCAGTAGTTGTTGTGAACAAAAAGAATGGAAAACAATGTTTATATATTGATTATAGAAAAGTAAATGTTCTTATCAAAAAGGATACTTATTTAATTTCTTGTGTAAATGATATATTAAGTACAATACAAGTATAAGATAATTTACTACTCTTGATTTAGTGAATAGATACTGACAAGTTAAAATGAATTCTAGTGAGTAAAAGAAAACTACTTTTATTGCGAAACAAGGAATATATAAATTTACAGTAATACTATTTGGGTTAACTAATGTTCCTATTATTTTCTAATAATTTATGAATCAAATTTTTAATGGACTATTATATAAAGGTGTTATTGTTTATTTGGATGATATTAATATTTACTTCAAAATATTTGAAGAATACTTGAAAAAATTAAGAGAAGTGTTAAAATAATTATATGTTATCAGTTTTAAATTAGGTCCTAATAAATGTCACTTTTTAAAGAAACAAATTAAATTTTGTTGTATTGTCAGTAACCAAGATATTGTTACAAATCCAGTAAAAATTAAAAAGTATAATATTTCCCTCAACCTAAGGATATGACAAAAATTTGAAATTTCTTAGAATTAGTCTTATACTTTAAGAAGTTTATTTATAACTTTTCTAAAATAGCATGACCTTTATATCAATTAATATAAAAAGAGATACCTTTTAAATATAAAAAGAAATATCAACAATCTTTCAATATCTTTAAAGAAAAATTAATTATATCTCCTATCTTAACATATCTAGACTTTAAAAAACCTTTTTACTTATTAACAGATGAATCTTCTGAAGGACTAAGTGTAATCTTTATACAAATAAATGATCAAAATTTAGAACAAGTAATTACAGTGACTCACAAAAGTACTGCAATAAAAAAAAATCATTTTCAAATTAATATAATTTAAGAAATATAAATCTCATAATAATAAATTTGCATTTATTAAATAGTTTTGATTTTATATTTTATATTAATATAAAAATTATTGTAAGTTAATTATAAAATTCTAGAAATATATTTATTTATTTAAAATTTCTATATTACATTACATATGTGATTTTTTTAAAAATTTAAATTTTGTAATTTTCTAAAAAAAATAAAATAAATATAATAAAAAAAATAATATATTCTAATTGTTTACTATATAATATCATTTTGTATATCTTCCTTTTACCTTTATCACATTTTTTACTTTTTGTGATATTAACTCAATTAATTTAGTACAAACTTCAAGATTAATATCATTCCATACATCTTGAATCTGTTCTTACAACTAATATTTCTTTGTAACTTTTACAGAAAGTTTTCTCAATTTTTTATCTATCTCATTTTACAAATACTTAATGGAATTCAAATCTGAAAATCGAGTTAATCACTCAAGTATCTTTATGTCATTTTCTTCAAATCACTTATTTGTAAGTTTAGCAGTGTGTTTAGAATTATTGTCCTATTGAAAAATAATATTTTCTTTATTTAAATTATACCAAGAGAGTGTTCTTAAAAAATTTTCTGTAAGTATTCTTCTGTAAAGATCACTATTTATCTTCCTGTCTATTTTATAAAGGTTTTTTATATCAAGTAAAGTAAAGTATCTCCACACTATACAGTTGATTTCATATAGAAATCTCTTAAAGATTTTCACATTTTCTTTTAACAATATTCTTTCTTATCACTACTAAAAATATTAAATTTATTTTTATCTAATCAAATTACCTTTGACCAATTTGAAATTGTTTAATGGAGATGTCTCTTCACAAAAACAAATTATCAATTTTGATGTATCTTCTTGAAGTAAGGCTTTTTAATTTTAGTTCTTGCCACTAGGTCATTTCTCCAGAAGGTATGACATATAGTTTCAATACTTACTTCAATATTTTTGTTCCCTTTGAGCTACTCTTTTGCTTGAATTGATGTGAATATTTTGTTAAACATTATAAGATGAAACATTTTTTATTTATCACAACCAGTAATTAAACATGGACATCTAGATTTTGGTCAATTTTCATTACTACCTATCTCTTTTAACCATTTATCTATTCTAGAAATAGTAGAGAAGTGAATATTTTTGACATGAGTAAAATAGTGAACAGTATTTCTTTCTTCCAGAAGTGTAGTTACTCTAGTTCATTTCTCAGTAGATATTTATTTTATGGATGTTTTTTTAAATATATTAATTAAAAAAAGATCAGTGGATAATTTTTTTTTAATAAAGAAAAGTGAGTTTTATTATTATTATTATTATTAAAAATTAAAATAATATTTTTTTTAAAATAAGTTACAAAAGAATTGTAATAATAAAATAAACAAAATCGTACTGGTCAAAAATTGATAAATAATACATATATCAGGTATCTGATATGTATATTACTTATTAATTTTTAATTAGTGTCAATTAACATCAGATGATACAAGATGTTAATTGTGATAATCATTATATTAATATTAAATTTAATATAAAAATATAAAAATTTTTTATATTTTTTATTAAAATTAATGAAAAATACTATAATAAAGATAATTTTTTTTTGTTGTAGTACTTTTGTGAGCCACTATATAAATTGTGAGTGAAGTTGAAAACATAAAAAATCCTCTAGAATCTTTTATTAGAAATAAAAATTTTTCAATAATTATTATTTATTAAAATTTTTTGATATAATATTTTTAAGTAATTAATTATTAAATATTTTTAAGTAATTTAATAAATATTACTATTGAGTTATTTAAAAATAAGCTTTCATTAAGGTTTGTGAGTTCATATTAAAGTTCAATAGCTTATATCAAAATTCAAGAGTCTATATTAAGGCTTGTGAGTTTATATTAAAGTTTATAAACTCATATTAAGACTTACAAACTTATATTAAGACTTGTAAATCCATATTAAGGCTCGTGAGCTTATAAGGTTTGAGAGTCAAACCAAGCTTAAATTATATAGATCCAGTTTGACCTAAACTCAAATTTTAAATCTAAGCTCAAGCCAAATTCAAGTTTTTTGAGATTAGTTAAGCTTAAATCTTATAGAGTTCAACTGGGCTCAGTCTATAAAGAATTTTAATTACAACACCTGTTTTTTTATCTTTAAAAAATTTTAGTACTTGAACAATGAATTTTAGAATAATAATTACTAAACAAATTTTAATTTTATGTAAATGAAAATTTAACATTGAAACTTATTAGTCATCAGGAAATTTAATTAGGCGTCGATTTACGGAAATATCACATGACCTCCGGAAATTTCCGCCTGAAAAATTTGA